TTATTTCTTATTAAAATTATAAATTTTAATATAGAGAGAAAATTTCAATTTTCACTATATTTTATTAGTAAATTTAGCCTCTGAGTCATTACTCTTGGTCGCCACTGTACATGATCTCCATACGAGACTACTGAATCCAGGAAATCTTTTTTATGATTAAATTTTTTTGCAAGTGATTAGTTGACGTTAATTTGAAGACTCCAGTTCATCTGCAACAACTTACACTATCATATATTTAATTCATTAAATCATACAGTGTTTCAGGCATAAATATTTCGACATTCAGTGAATTATTTAGTTACATAAACATTGTTTACCTTGTCTTTTTTACAAAATATACTGAAAATAAGATGATATGTGAGCAGAAATGGGATAATGAAAAACTGTGATCAAATCATATATTAAAAAATATATTAAAAAATAAAAGATCCTTTGCAGTTCAAAATATTAGACTGTTCGCATCATGCCGACAATAAATGTACTTCGAATTTGTTTCTGCCGAGATGGTTAAAAATTTACGCATTTTTATTGGTTTGTGTTTCGGACTGATCGTTGGACGTACAACGCCTGTTTGCAGTCACACACGAGCCGAACCAATCCGAAAAGTTATATCGTGCATGTAGTTTACTCGGTTTAAAATTTTAAAACTATCTTAGGCAAGCATCTTTATTCAGCCATCGTAAATATTTCGTGCACTGTAATGTATGCAACTAAATCGTACATTGTAGGAATATTGATGTAGGCAGTAATCACTAACTTCTGATATAATCAGTGAGAAAAAGCAGTAAAAGAAAATTTATAATTTCTTGGATAATATATTACAACGGAAAATAAAATTACCGTTCCAAAAGAATTAACCAGAATTCTTTTGGAATTATTTATTAAAAGAATAATACATGTACATATTTTCAATTACTTAAAACGCGTCAATTTTAAAAGATAATCATATAAAATCCCATGTAATAGGAATACGGCCCTGCGAAGGATCGGCTATTGTATCAAACATCGCGGGCGACATGTCAACATCTCCTGACTTGCATTCGGGACACCGATCTGTGACTTTACCATCAACAGATTTTCCATTATAGTAAATTCGAATTCCTCTACCACATAATGTATTTTTATTTGGATTTCCGTTCGGAGTGGATGGATCGAAATCTGGTGCAGCAAGCGCAACAATCATCGAGCTATCGTTATCTTGTTCACCGCAGGCACCGAGACCGGGATTGAAGTAAGTGCCGTCACCTGAATGTGAGCCACCGGACTGTCTCTTTGTAATTGGTGAAGCATCAACTATGGTTTCGATTATCAACATGAAAACCACGAGAATAATTTGAGTTTTAGATATACTGAATTTCATTGTGGTATGATTTAATTTTTCAGGGGGTAATCGCGAAGTTGAAAATTTAAAAAACTTTTTTAGAGATTTTTAATGTTTTAATTAATATATATATATATACTTCAACACCCAGGTCAAAGGAAAAAAAATACGCGCAGCGTAATTTAATGAGTTAACTTTAATAAAGAGGAAACGAAGCCGATGAGGGGAAAAAAAGAGGAATCCATCGCTTTTTATAAAAAAAGACAACTATTAGAAATACGATATTGGTTATTGTTATTAAATAGAGCCACGTATGAGAAACAAAATCTTTTTTTACATTTCTTGCCCAAAAAGGGAAATCAATGAAAATCTGTTTCATAGGCAACACCAATAAAAGAAAACGCAGTAGTATAAAAAAAAAAAATACAGTACCGTAAAAAATATAATACATGTATTACATGTGCTGTATCCTTTTTATTGATAACAATAAAATTTATTGATAACAATAACATAAAATTACATGTATGTACTTCGGCGTTGAGAAATATTGGTAAAAACAAAGACAAATGAATTTTCAAGGAGCTTTCAATGAGATATTGTTCTATCAAAAAAACAAAACATACCGTATTTTCCGTGTAAGTACCCCTCTTTCAATCAAAAATCATGAACA